TAGTTTTATGTTGTATAAAAACTTGAGAAATAAAAAATAAGCATATATTTATGTAGTTAATTTAGTGAATTCTACTAACTTTCTAATTTATGCTTTATGGTTCTTTTCATTTGTTTATGTAGAACTGAGTTACTGTCTGGTGTCTTCTCCTCACTCCAGTACAACTCTATCTGTGTCAATGTTATGGGAACAAATGTAAGACTATTCATGTATTGTATAAAATTGCTTTATAGATCAATGAAAAGAGGAAAGTAGGAAATAAATACTTTTTAATGATCCTTCATAGCTATGTATCTCCCAATTCCCCTCTCTGCAGTCCCCAGTACATCCTGTTGTACCTCTTGCTCCACAGGGTTTTGTCTTCTAGGAATCTAATATAGTTGAGTAATACAATGTCTTTCTTCTGTACCTGGCATACCCTATTAAGGATAATATTTATGGTGAAAACATATTGTAGAATATAGTCATGTGATGCATCATATTTTGGTCAATGACAGATCACATCTATCACTGTGGGTCTGTGGGATCACAATGCAGCTGAAAAATTCATATCGCCTATTGGTGCTGTAGTCAGTGTCATAGTACACTGCACTGTCCACACACTTGTGGTGACACGGGGATAATCCAACCTACCACTTGCAGTCATATAAAAACCTACAGCATGTAATGCTTGATAATGATCACAAAATCATTATGTCACTAGTTTATGTATATATTATTCTATACTTTTGGTCGTTATTTTAGTGTGGTCATTATACTTATTTAAAGCTTACTGTAAAGTAGTATGCTGTGTAAAACAGTATGCAGCCTCATGCATCTCTTCTTTCTTTCATATTGTATTGACCGAATCATTTTCTCTCATCTTTGATATATATAGTTCATGATATTGTTTTTATAATGGCTCCTAAGAATATGAAATCCACTGCAAATGTTGGTAGTAAGAACCTATGTCAAGCGGTTGACATGGAAACAAAGTTAAACATGATTAAGTAATACAGAGGCTGAAAATCACTATAGTTGTTAATTGTCAGTCAGCCCTGTCCCATCCCACCATAGCAAAGACATTTACAAACAAAAGGAAAGTAACAGAAGCTGTTAAACATCTGGGTCATAAAAGCACCAAGACCAACAAAAGTTTCAGGAGGCCCAATCTGAGATATGGAGAGGCTGCTAAGGACTTAGATTGAAGGATAGACTCAGAATTCTATCCCTTTCACTGCTGTGACCATCATGGTCAAAGCCCAAAGTTTGTTTGCAATTTTCAAAGGAAAAGATGGACTTCAGCACGATGATCATGCTGAGTGATTTAAAGGATTCAACTATCACTGTTCATTACATCATGAGAAAGTGAGGGCTGAGTCTGTGAGTGCTGATATGAAGACAGCTGAGTAATATTTGGGAGCCCCAGAGAAGCCGACTGTAGAGAACCATTATTTGGCAGAGCAAATCCTCAATATTCTGGAAAGAGATTCCTAAAATGACATTCACACATAAAGAAGCCAAGTCACTGCCAGCTTTCCCAGCTTTGAAGTACAGGCAAGTAATCTCGTTTGGGGGCAAGGTTGCAGTCAGTTTTCAGGGCAAAATTGAAACCCTTTGTGATCTTAAAGCCCTGGGTCTTCAAGCACGTTAATTACCACACAGTGTCAGTGGACTGCAGGAGTCATAAAGTTGTGCATAGTCCAGCTCCTCTTGAAAGATGCCCTCCTAAGCTGCTTTGCCATCAAAATGGAGAAGTGCTGTTGACACAATAAATAATGTCCCTTCAGAATTGCACTTTTTGGTGACAGAGCTCCTGCATGTCTTCCTTTCTCGGTAGTCTTCATTCCCATAGAAAGTGATATTTCTTTCTCCAAACACTATCTCTTTAATGGAACCAATGGATCAAGGAGGTATAGCACACCAGGAAATGGTCAGCCTGGAGGCCAGAGCATCACTATGATTGAACCCTGTGGCATGTGGTCAGACACACGTATGCCCCAGCACCTGGGGAAATGAATATAAATTTAAGACTAAAAGGTGTTTTTTCACTTGGCCCAGAATCTTAGAAATTATTCTACAGATTAATTTTATATTTAAAGAGTATTACAGTAATAGTACACCCTATATAACTTTTTCTATTTGCCAAGTGTTATTTGCAACACAATCCAAATGTACACCTAAGTGCAGGAGAAACATTTCAGCTGGCTGGAAATGCAGAGAATACAACTTATCTTGTAGTTCATTATCAGTATATTATTTCTTATCTAGTAAGAAAACTAAAGAAAAATTTATGAACAACCCCCAAAATACATCAGCCAACCCAAACCTAAGCCTACTATTACTATTAGGATCTTCATTGTGGGGCCTCCAAATTCTGGAATAACTGCAGGTGAGCATGTACAGTATTTGTCTTTTTTTCAAGCTAAAAGTATCCTTTGAAGCCCAGTGTCACCTCTTCAGGAAACCAATTAGCAAAATTGAGCCAAAAAGAGGAAACCAAAATAGACTAATACCCATTGAAGAGAAGTGTGTTCGTCATCTTTTCATTACTGTAACAAAACACCTAAGGTAATCAGTTTAAAGGGGAAAGGTTTACCGGGGCTCGCAGTGGTGTAGGTTTTGTCCCATGGTTGACTGGCTCCATTGTTCTTGTGCCAGTGGTGAGGCAGTACATTGTGATGAGGGGCACATGGCAGAGGAAAGCTGCTCACCTCGTGGATCCAAAAGGGAGAGAAAAAGGATGCGATCAGGGTGTTCCGATTCCCTTCAGAGGTCTTCCCATGACACAAAACCTCTCACAGGCCCCCTGTCTTAAGTTCCCACCTCTCCCAGTAGCACCATGGACAGGGAGAAAATCAGCAGCACACTGACTTTGGGGGACATTTCGGGTCCAGACTTGAGCAAGAAGGAAGTCAAAATACAACCTCATTTTAATGCACTCCAGGATCAAATAGTTTTAGAGAAAAATCATATCAAATCTTGAAAGCATCAAAAATTCAAAAAGTAATCCTATTTTTAGTAGAACATGTTTACAGTACATAATGTTTACATTAATCCTAGGGATTAACAGATCTTGTTCTTTTTATTCCCCTT